GCGATCAGAGATGGCACATTCCTCGCCGTCCGGACATTGCTGGGAGCCGTCAGAATATCTGCCCTCCCCCCCCCCCCCCCCTCCAGACACACACACGCACGCGCGCGCGCACACACACGTACACACACACACACATACAAACACACACACATACACACACACACACACACACACACACACACACACACACACACACACACACACACACACACACACACACACACACATATATATATATATATATATATATATATATATATATATATATATATATATACACACGCACATACACAAGCGCGCAATCACTTCTGCTTACTCATGGCCCAATAATTACGCCGATAATTCAGTTTACCGAAGGGCTAATCTTTCATGAGATGGCATGTCTCTAGTCCAGTGAGGCTCGTTTTGGCAGTACCTTTCTGATGGGGGTGACGTTTGCTTCAGATTATTCTGGTGAGTGCAGTTTGCAGCTAGGCCGTTCCTGTCGCTTCTCTAAACTCCTCTTACTTCCTCAACGCTCCTCCAAGCTAATCTGACCGTTTCCGTGGCTCCTCCAGCCTCCTCCAAGCTCCTCAAAGCTTGCCGCAAATTTCCTCCAACCTTCTTCAAAATGAAATATGTTTTTGGAGGGCTTTGGAGTAGGCTGTGATAGACATTAATAGTGAAGTTCATTGATGTGCTTTTGAGGCTCCATTTGTTGTCACCTAACAGAAACAAAGGACTGGTGTGCAATTTTGTGCGAACAGATTATTCATGCTGACATCCTTAATATTGTTGCAAACATTTACGATTTTTAATATGTTTATCGGTAACCATCACGTCCAATAGCATTCGTCGCCAGAGTGCCAAAACAGTTCGGTTAAATTGCGTACAAACAGTTGATACGTTCTTCAAAATCGTCCCCGCGGCAGCAGATTTAAAGGGAGTGTTCCACATTTATATGGGGATTTGAACGGAAATATCCATCTTGAAAAGCTTTCGGTGCTATACACAACCCTGCCGTTCTTAAGAGCTAAGCCCATATAGTTTCTTAGTTACACACTCGCGAAAATGGGAAATGGGGAGTGCATTCGGGGAGAGCATTCCAAAGTCAACTTGGCATTCATGACGTCATAATAGTGCCATTAAAATTCTGTCATTCCACAAGCCATGCAGCGATCAAGATGAAAAGTATAATTGCCTACGCGCTCATATCTGGCCTTCGTGAGCACAATTTCCAGATATAACGGCCGTCAGTCGGCTCTCAATCAATCTTGTGTAAGGTACGATGACGTAATCAAACCGTGGCGCATTGAGGAGCATATTTACTGAACAGATAATTGTGCTGTTTGGAGCATTCTTTTCCACTTAAAAAGTATAGGAATAGCTATAAGTGAGCTTATTTCATCATATCTGATGCTTGCTTCAATATCTTCAAATGTGAAACATTCCTTTAATGCAGATTCAGCGCTTTCCAGCCCCTCCAAACTAGTCTCATCTTTTTTGGAGGAGCGACGGGAACAGACGCTTTGCTTGCCTGCCTACGTACAAATGGTGTGAGGAGAGAGCAAAGACGAAGCATTTCTTGAAGAAGTTGATAATAAAGAATTGCTCGTCCTCGGTACTCTCCACCCTGAACGATGGGTCTCGATCTTTCTCCCGTAAGCTGTTGACATGGCTCCCCGCTCGCACCGGACGCCATACACCAGTGGTGATGTTTCGCAACCTCAGTTAGTTAGAACAGTAAAAAATAGGTATCGGTCTGCTCCCATCGCGCTCCTCATCTCAAGCTCCCCCAATCTTCTCAAACCTCATCCAGCCTCCTCCGAAATGAAGGGGGATTTTCGTAGGAATTTGTACGAGGCTACGGTAGACATTAGTGGCGCAGTTCATTCATATGCTATTGTTTGCTACATATGCTGTCGCATAACAGTACTAGAAACAGGTGAGTGAACCGTTGCATGTTCATCAATATTTGGATTCTTTTCATAGGAATTATACGCATAACATTAGTATTTGTTACACGTTTATGCGACTTTGAACACATATGTCAAACTCAAATCAACATTTGATGTTATTGCGCTAAAACAGTTTGGCTGAGTCGCGCACAGACAGGTGATACCTCCTCCAATTGGTAGCAGATCTCAGCGCTCCTCCAACCTCCTCCAAACTCACCTCATCTTTTGGGAGAAGCACCGGAAACAGCCCCTTTGCCTGCCCTCAAAATACGCCAACAAATGGGTTTTCCACAAGTAGAAAGCCACGCTCCTGTCATGCAAACGGCTTTGGTAAGTCCTACCATAGCGCTGATTATAAACGAGCCTCCCTGCATCCACAACTCGACTGACAGAGGTGGCCAGCAAATCCGGTGGGCAACTGCAAGCGGGTGTTATAATCGCACACCTCCGTGACCTCGGAGCTAGACCGCCCCCGCCAGGGCCGCGGCTTGTCCCCGTTTGTCAAGCCCAGCCAGCCGGCTGCCCGCAACCTTCTCCAGCCTCCTGCCCGCTCATCCACGCCCGCCGCATGTCCAGCCCCTCACCGGCGGCGATCAAAGGCGCCGATGGCCTTTCAGTGCTCTGCGCGCCCCCGCCCGCGGCGTCCGCCAGCCGTCCTGTAATCCTTCCGGGGGGGGGGGGGGGGGGGGGGGGAGGGGCTGGAGGCGACTGCTACCGTCCGGACAGAGCCAGGCCAACCTTTGTCGCGGACCGCCGGGACCTGGAGGCCGGGCTCGTCTCGGCTGGGCAGGGACCGCGGTGACCAGCTGGTCAGGTGGTCGCAATGAGATGTGTCACCAGCCGGCCTGACCAGGGCTGCGTGCTGTGTGCGGACTGCGCTGCGCGGGAGCGGGCGGCGTAGATCAGCGGGGTTTGAGAGGATGAGGTGGCGCATCGGAGGTGGCAGCGGAACAGCTGGAGCCGGCGTGTGGCAGACAGACTGGAGCCGATGTGTGGCAGACAGACTGGGGCCGACGTATAGCAGACAGACTGGGACCGACGTATACCAGAGAGACTGGGGCCGATGTGTGGCAGACAGACTGGAGCCGATGTGTGGCAGACAGAATGGGACCGGCGTATAGCAGACAGACTGGCACCGATGTGTGGCAGACAGACTGACGTGTAGCAGATAGACTGAAGCCGACTTATGATAGACAGACTGGAGCCGACGCATAACAGACAGACTGGAGCCGTCATGTGACAGACAGAATGGAGCTAACACGTGGAAGAGAGATTGCGGATAAGGGCAGGTCCAGGAGGGTGAGGGGCAAACCTGGCCATGTCAGCCCCAGGATCGCACAAGTCGGGCAATAATGGAACATTTCTGAACTTTGAGGGAAACCAATCCCGCACTAGCGCAAGTTTGTTTAGGAACACTTCCTGAACTATTTTAAAATTAGTACACCTTTTTGGACCTTGTCCTCACGCCGGCGTGGCCCGTCCCTTCTCAGGCTGCCGTCCCTGATCCGCTTTTAAGTGCCTCCGGAGCTACGCACACAACCTGGCGCCAACGCAGCACGGACCGTCCATTCTCAGGGCGCCGCTCTGGATCCGCTTTTGAGTGCCACCAGAGCTACGCACGCACCCTGGCACCAACGCGTCACGGACGAAGGATGTAATAAGCACCCAGCTTTTAGTTGTTCGCTGACAACATATCAAGCTGAGTCATATTAACAACGATTTTCAAGTTGATAGGGTCAGGAAATCTACCCATAACCGGAGTTGACTGCATGATCAGAGCCGTCATTAAGTGAGTCGGAGGTGGACAAGGGTCATGGCTGACGCGTCGTCAGCTGTTCTTCCCTCACGACCACGCCACAGTTCATCATCTAACATAAAGGCTGATAGAGTGACCTAGAAACTTTACGTCAGTGATGGGAAGTTTTCTGACATCTGCTCGATATTAGCTATTGTGTTATGGTTATTTACCCCTAGGGCCTTGAAATGGTGATGAAGGAATGTTTATCGACTAATGATCAGCCTATAGGTAGACTTAAGCTGCCTTTACACAGACACTCGACATACGTAGACTGCCTATTTCCAGCTCGCGATGCAACGTTTGTGTACATAGTTCAGGATCAGTGACTGGGACGCTATGCTGCTTCTTGAATGCGCACGCGCACCATTGCACACGCGCACACGCACACCTCGTCGCACCCGCGTTCGCTCTTAATGCATGTTCGCAGGTGTCTTTGCGAGACAGGATCCGGATCTTCAGGTGATGGGGCTCTCCATTTATGCCGTTGGTGCCAACACTGAAAGCGCATCAGGGCAAGAAGTAAAGCTTCGCTATTCAGCCCATATCTAGTTTGATGATATAAAAAATGCATGATGTATTAGATTTCGATATCAATGTAGTATGGATTTCGCCAAAAGTGGTCTTCTAGTCGAAGGCAACGTATGACTGTCCATTGGCAGGTACCTCGCTGGCCGGCCGTTCCATTAGAAGCTGATCGCTACGTGTCTCCATTATAGATGTGGGCACGTGGTCTGGACATCGAGGATACATCCTTAAAATGTGCGATAAATACATAGATCAGTGCCGCATTAACCGAGAGCTTTACCATGCGGATACATATCGTCATCGTTATTCTTTCTGACGGAAGCACAGCAGCAGCACCTTCCCTCTCTCTTTCAGGCACCCTCCGCCACTCGCCCATCAACACAATCGTCCCTCGCGTGGCGGCGGGCGGCGGCGGCCGGCTGGACGCGTTTGAGCCGACACGCCGGGGGCGCATCCTCACAACGTGCCGGCCTCCGAGAGATCAGACGCCGTGGTGGTCCTCTCTGACGGCCATGCCGATGAGATAATCCTCTATTAATGTGCCGCCGTGAAATGGTGGTGAGCTCCAGAGGCGCAGCCAGGTCCACCCGTTGGATGCGAGTTTTTTAACATCATAAACGATGTATACAATTCTGTTATGAGTAGAGATCAGTGCTCATTGAGACCGCCCCCCCCCCCTCCGCTTCAGAAAATCCTGGTAGCGCTCTTGGTGGGTTCACAGACAACCGTAGAAGTCTGACCTGTAATCCTCCTCAGTGTAGTGCATCTGCTGCTGCTGCTGCTGCTGGTCCCAATAGATGAGCGACTGTTGGTGGTGCTGCTGCTGCTGATGATGCGGCGGCTGCTGGTGCTGGTGCTCGTGCGGGTGGTGCTGCTGGTGCTCCTCCAGCGGCAGGAAGCCGAAGTCGTTGAGCGGCATGGCCGCCGCGTCCGCCACCGTCCCCCGCTCGTCATAATAGCCATACATGTCCTGCCGCGGGGGGTCCATGGCGGCCGAGCAGGCTGGCATGCGGCCGACGGTCCGGTGCGGAGGCCGGCCCTCGGTCGGCGCGAAGGGTCAGGCGCGGGTCAGCCCAGCACACCGCCTCAGGCCGCGGCCCGAGGCGTCGCCGCGCGCCGCCCGCCGCCGTCCACAGCCGCTCCTCCCGCCGGCGCGGACAGCGTGGCCGCCCGAGACGGCGTGGACGCCGCGCGCGCGTGGCCCCGGCGGTCGGCGTGGACGGTGTGGACACCGGGCGGGCGCGGCGGTGTGCCGCTGGACGGAGCGCCGGACGGCGGACGCCGGTCTGACAGTGTCACCGACGGCCGGTGTCGCCGGCGGCCGGTGTCACCGACGGCCGGTGTCGCCGCGGCCGGTGTCGCCGACGGCCGGTGTCACCGACGGCCGGTGTCGCCGCGGCCGGTGTCGCCGACGGCCGGTGTCGCCGCGGCCGGTTGTCGCAGTCACTTGTGTCGCTGACCAGTGCCCAGCGGCCTGTGCCGCGCGGCGAGAGACTGCGAGAGAGGCGCCAGTCAATAAGATAAGATAGGCCCGCCGATCCGGCCACTATCGGTGGCGCAGATGGCGAACAAACAGTCCCGTCTGTCTGCTGGGGTCGCAGCAACCCCGGCCGCGTACCCAGGCGGCTGCACCCGTCGCCGGTAACCCCGGGGTGCGCCCGGTCGGGGTGCGCTGGACGCGCAACGCCGTGAGTGGAAGGAATGGGCACAGTGGAAGTGGGACTGAAGCAAGATCCAACATGTTGCAAGACGCTGAATCCGCATATGCTGACGAACTAAACAACTTACCTAACAATCGGTGCTGACACTGACTCGTACCTTGCCCCAGCTTCAGCCAGCGGCTCCTGACGCTCCGCCGCGTCCGTCTGGCCAAGCCCGCGGGAGTGACCGCGGCCAGGTCAAGACCATGACCTCAGGGATGGAACCGTAATGCGAGGGTGCATTTGGTCGTGCGTCTAACAACTTTTCAAATGAATGTTAGACACCGCATCATTATCGCTGAAACGACACTGAAAACGCGCACACATGCACACATATCTCCCCAACCGCATTCGTCGCAATCGCGTGCGTTGTAGCACAAATGCACCACGTTTTAGAGATAAAATACTGCAGAGCTACATTCAACGTTATTACCGTCGCCTTGCGGGACTGCCGTAAGGAGCTTCGTCACTACAAAGATGTTTGCACATTTTCGGCGCAAGGTCAAGCTATGCTGTCGTCTGTGCATGCAACATAAGTGCAAGGTGAGAATGATAAAATTTGCGCATATTTTCGACATAGCTCAAGCCCTTTTGCTTACTAATGACATGAAGCCGTCCGTTTTTCTTATAGATTTCGAACGTACGTTTTTCCACATTTTTTGCACCTCCACCTTTTGTTAGATCAGACGCGTACAACTTTATTAGCAATGCCTTTTTCTCGAAACCCTTCTGAAAAGCTCATAACTTTTATTCGAAGTAGCTGCTCCGGCGGAAGAAATATAATTGCACTCCCTGCTCACCACTATGAAAACAATACATTTTATTCGTCTTGCTCTTTGCCGACGTGTATGCTCTACTAAGTTAACGACACGCTAATTTGTCAAAACGTTTGTGCAATAAATCCCACGAGAACTTGAAGCATTCCATGTTGACAAAAAAGATGAGCGGACGTGAACCTGCTGTCCCGTGAACTCCGTGAGTCGCTTATTTTCGATTAACGGTTATAAGCGATTTATCCCCCCCCCCTTGACGTTTATCACAGTGCCTCTTTTCGAGGCGCGCTTTGGCTTTGGGAATGGGAGTATCATCGCATTGTCCATACTGACGTACTGGTTCAACCTTCAACCAAACAAACTCCCGGTTACAGGTCCTGAACCACTGGGCCAATCACAATCGTTCTTTTATTCGCACCAGCAGACGTGCCACGGTGGTTTTCATGACGGCGGCGGTCACCGCACCCGTAGCCTTCCTCATAAAAAACTTCTTACGAACCGTTTGTATTTTGTAATTTGCAATTTAGAGTAAACAAAATACAAAATACAACTGCTTCAAAAAACCCGCGCGCGTTGCGCAATCGAAGTTGTAAAACTCGACGCCGTATGTAGCTTGTCGCCGCCAATCACCGGCCTTGCCAAGGATGTATAAGAAGTACGCCCGACCGGCTTTTTAGCACCCGATACGCCCAACGTTGACGTGACGTCACTGTAGTCTTGACACAACGAGGGCAGCGCGCAGCCCCGCACGATGCATATTACGATCTGGATATATGCGTTTCCGTTGGTTACAGCTGCACTGCGTACCGAATTTGCTGGGAAAAGCTACCCTTTCTTCCGCCCGTCCCTAAAATTGCCCCACATTATCAAACGATTAGTTTGGTGTAAATTCGGTAAACTTAACCCAAATTACGTCGCCCATACTAAGCGGGACGTTTGTGTCAACGCATGCAGTCAGGCTCACGCAGGTGGGTTCGCCGTTCTCGCTGTCCCCGCTTCTGCCGACGCCGGTTTCTGTGTCACCCATGTGCGCGTGCCCAGGGTCACACCCAGAATCTTGGTGGGAGTGACACAGGGATTTGTGAAAGGCCCCTGGTGAAAATCCCCAAGTTTTGAGCAGGCCCCAAAGTTTCTTTTCCTTTCGTTTATTTTTTTGTTCCGTTATTCCGACGGACGTGTTAATGAAGGGGTCGTGGAATGAACTCCATATGCTTGTTCCTTTTAGGCGGCGCCGTCAGTGAAACACTGGGGGCCACAGAACAGTTATAGTGCGACATTCTGGTGACACGGACGCCGGGCCTCATGATCGATTCAGAGGCCCTCTGAGGATACCTTGGTCTCCTTTATGACGCCGGCCGTCCTCTGATGTGAGCAGGTAGTCCGACCCGGAGTAGAGGCTTTCGGTGACGCACAATAATTTCTTACAGGTACAATGTATCTACTAAGTGGCACGAGGATCACTTTTAACAAAATCAGGCCCTTAGAAAAAAGGGAGCAAGGTGGTTTGTTGGTTATTGGGCCCACTTTCCGATACATTGCCATTCCAATGTCTCGACCAATGCGGGACCTTTTATTACCCTATTTCCTATTTCCCTGCATTGTCGGGGGCCTCAAACAATGCAAGAGGCCCGCTGACATTCCAGGTCCCGTCATTGTCCCTTTCTAGCAAACGGGCCCACTGCCGACTTGGATTCCCTTGCTGACACAGGATCCCTTGTCAGGCACTGTGGCCCCATGATAGGACACAGTAGCTCTTTTTCATCTGTGCTTAGCTAGTCTCCGCGCCCACACGCCATTAGTTCGTATCAACAGTAGGGGCGCAATCAAAACTTTCTTAAGAGAGTGGGCAGACCTCGGCGAGAATGCATCACGCCAATTTCAAATTTTCTTTTAAGAGCACTCTGGTAAAAATGAAGACCCGTGGGCCGAATGGGGCGCTCCTTGACTGTGCTTCTGCATAGCAATCAAACAGCAGCGACAGCGGAGTTTGAAGATTACGACGTTGGAGGCGGGGGTCGGTTAGCTCCCTTTGTGACGGCCCTTGTGTGACAGCTATCCACCATATTTGGTTGCCCCCCCCCCGCTCACAACTCTTCCGACCTCAGTGCTACAAAATCTTAAGAAAATATAAATATCACAGGGACCTTCATCGGACGTTAGCTGCAGTTGATGGCCGCACTACTAAAATAAAGGCTTATTCAGTGCCTCCAACCTGAAAATTACCGTACATCGAAACAAAGTGGCCTGCGAGCCGGTGAGAAACGTATTTAGGGCGAGGTTAGGTTCGCAGGTCCTCGCAAGGGCGTAATGTCGCTGAACTATTTATGGGGGGGGGGGATGTCACACCCTACCACAAAATATGCATTTCGCCTGGGTCTTGGGCTTATCCCCAATCATTTCGAAAGCTGATGCCCCTGCTTGCGGATGAAAGAAACGCTAACCAAACCAGTACGACTTTGATTGATGCTTCTAATCCAACTTTGAATGGCTATTGATTGCCTTGCCTCCAATTACTTTGAATGCTGCATCTATCCTACGTTTCCGCTACGCCACGACGATGGGACCAGCAGCGACAGAGCCAATGACACATTAGGGCACCAGTGACGTCATTGCCCCGTGCTGGGTCCCACGGGATTCCACCAATATGAAAGCCAATGATGCTCCCCCCCCCCCCCACCCCTCCGGTGTTTACCCCGCCAGCTGATATTGCCAGTGTCCGACGAGCGCAGGAATAAGAGAGGTTGTGCTATGGATCATTATAAATACCGCGCTTTGCAAACAAAGAACGCAAGAAAATGCATTGGAAGTGGCAGGGAACAGAACATTAGGTTCCCCAATACCAGCAATCAAATACATTTGTCGATGTGTTTACCATGCGTCTCACAGATTTTAACAGAAGTAAACAAACAGAACATTGGCACTGTCATGGCAACCAGCGAAACAGTGGATCAGTGAACCAGCATAACGCTAGTGTTCTTTTGCCATGATATGCATCTATATTCTACCCATAGACATGGAATGCATGCGTCGTCCACACCCGGCGGTAGCTGTCCTTGTTTGGCGTCAAGGTGAATGTCGTCGCATGCCCGCAGTTTGATAGGATGAGCATACCTGCTTTCACTTGTATGAGTAGAATCTATACTTTGAATTAAGACATTTCATAGCCTATCAATACAACCATTTCATCCTGGCAGTGACTTGGATACCAGTGGGTCTAATCACGGAAAATGATCACCTTCATATCATTATCTTCCCACCCCCTCAACACGCAAGCACAAGACAACGCAGGATTTCTATCGGATTGGTGGGGCTGCCAAGGCCACTTATAGTGATGGCTAATAACGCAAAGAAATTAATTTGCTGCACGCTTGGTTGCACGGGCCATACGGGGAGTTAGATATTATTAAATCCATCAAGACCGTCACGTTGCTTCCTCTGAGCGTTGCGTTCTGCGAGTTTCTTTATCCTTCCACTTCCTCTGAGAAATTGCTTACTTTGTCCCGGGAGATTCTTACAAGCCTCCTTCTTCTGCCACCTTCGTGTCAACAATCCATTTTCGCTACTGGCACTG